AAGTAGCGATGATGTCACCACGACGCTTGTGCTAGGCCATGTGCACCTTGAGGCCACGTGAAGTGTCGAACGCCCGCTGGCAGGAGGTCACGGTGCAGACCCAGGTGCCACGGGTCGACTGACTGAGATGACTGGCTGATGCACCACCTGTGCCCCCCCCTACTGTGCCAACCTGCTGTGCTTTAGCCAGCCGGCGCTCTAGGTACTGTATACAAAGTTCAAAGATCCCCCGTATAGCCTTAACAGACTGTAGGGGCAAGTGCTGTTAGCGAGCACCTATGAAGGCCGGTAACGGTACACGAGGGGGTGGGTGGCCAGCACCACGCCCGACCGCCTTTGTTTCCCTAGTGGCAATGTTTACACACTGCACCAGGTACTCATTTGAGGCTGAGTCGACCTAGGGGAGGCCCGGGACCGGTTAAGATAATCGCCACTGGTGTTGGCCGTGAGCGGGAATCGAACCCGTGTCGCCGGGTTCATAGCGCAGCGCGCTAACTGCTACACTATCGCTCCCCACAACACACACACATACTTATACACATACATAGTTCTTGTTCTACTTAACTTTCTACTGTTCTTTCTTTTAGTTTCACTTTGAGTCAAGTTCTGGATATGTTGGATCTAGATGACCGCCCAGGCAAGGCATGCAACATTTCAGTTATCTCTCAAAATGAGAAAGATGCTGTCCTCAGTGATTGTGATAGCGATGGGTCAGATATGGACTATGAGGGGGAGACGGGCCATTTGCCAGCCAATCTGTTGAATGCATATGCTGAACCTATGCAAACAGATCATGACAGGAACAACGTTATCAGTGATGATGACCCCCCCTCCCCCACCCCCCTCCACTGTTGATAATGAAGAGCCTAGGGCCTCTACAAGCCATAGGGGGCAGCCAGAAGAGCCGAGGGCAAAGCTGCAGATGGTCAAAAATAAAGATCGAGTATTCAAACGATCGAAGAGGCCTGCGACGGCTGTGATTCCAAAACACATAGTATACAGCCCAAATGCTGTAGAATGAGTAAAACAAAGGTGTCCCAAACCAGTGGATGTTTTCCTACTAATGTATCCACCCATCCGAAGAGAGATCACCATTGAAATGTCCAACCTCTACACCACCCAGACCAAGGACAAGCAACTGTATCTGAGTACGGATGAGCTCCTTACATTATATGGCATCATTATCACATCTGGGTACTGCTTTATTCCAAAAAGACATGTACCGGTCACTTGACAGTGATGTACACTAATAGCATTTCGGATGCAATGGCGGAGAAATCGCCTTGATGAAATAATGGCCTCAGTTCATGTGGTTTACAACACAAAGGTCACTGACGACCCGTTTTTTTAAGGTTAGGCTAGTCTTCTCTAAGCTCAATCAGTCATACAAAGTCATCCCATTTCAGGAATGGCTGTCAGTGGATGAGAGCATGATCCGATACTATGGCCGACATGAATGTAAGCAATTCATAAGAGGTAAACCAATCCGTTTTCGTTACAAGCTATGGAACCTTGCCTCATCCAGTGGTTACATGTGTAATGGGTTCGGGAGACACTTGTAGAGGCGACTCTTTATTATAGCACACCAAGCCAACACCCGCACACAGCCTAGGGACACCGCCCACTTCTAGTGTGCCTGACACTGGCTACGCTCTCGGGTCCTCTGGCTATAATTACCCTAGGGGAGGCTACCCTGACCCGACCCAGCAAAGGTGCGGGTCTAGACTCTGGCTTCCTCGGACCTCGCCCTTACAAGGGCATGGAGCCGGGAGTCCCAGAGTCCCACCACTGGCCCAGAGTCCCACCACCGGCCCGCACAGCGTCCCGGCCATTACAAGGACAGCGGGGCGAGGGGGTCCAGGCTCCTAAGCTGGCTGCTGGTCTTGGTTCTTCGGCTGTGACTGGTCCCGATCGGCTGGGGAGGTCCCCTTTTATGCCCCTTGCCCATCGAGGGGTGGGGCTGCGTGGGATTAGAGAACCCCCGCAGCCCCCCCCCCCGTTGGGGGCACCGAGGGGCTTAGCTGTCTGGGGTCCTGATCCCCCAGCAGCCCCTCCCCTTTTGGGCTGGTACTGCAGCCCTTCCCCTGGCGGTACGAGGTACCCCTGCAGATGGGCCCCGTATACCACTGCCGGTAAGTGCGGCCCATCTACGGCATTACACATGTATCACAGGGAGCCATATGGTGGATCCCACACTCTCCTCCCTGAGACTGGGTTGGGTCAGGGACCCAGTGTCGTTCTCGGTCTTGCAGAGCAATCTCAGGTGCCTCAAGGTTGCAAGTTCCTTAATGACAACCTCTACACTTTCGCCTGCACTCCTTGATGAAATGACAAAAAGAAGATATGGGAGCTCTGGAACGATGAGTAAAAATCGTCTGTTTGATGTCCCATTATTCAAACCACAGAAGGACTTCATGAAGTTACTCCGGGGGGAACCTTTGAGGTTCTGACCCAAGGAGACAAGTTGCTGGTCCGTTGGAAAAACAATAACATTGTCACAGTGGCAACAAACATGGAGGAGAAATGCAGCGAGACCTCTGTCAAGAGATGGAACAAGGAGCCACGTGCCTTTGCCAAAGTCCCACAAACCAAAATGCATCACGACCTACAGGTTTCAAGATACCATATCTCGATCAGGTCTGAGAAGTGGTGGTGGCCCACCTTTGCATGGTCACTCAAAAGTGCACTCGTAAACAGCCATTTATTTTACAGAGATGTTATGGGAGGGACCATCGACCTGCCCACCTTCTCACGGATAGTTGCACAGTCTCTTATGCACATGTTTGGCAGGAAACCACTGAGCCACGGAAGGAGATGTCTACTGGCTGTAACTGTTGAAGATCAGATAAGATTTGACAGCTTCTCACTGGCCAATCAACACGATGCACCGGTTCCAGAGATGTCGTCATTGTGACAAACGCATTTCTATGCATGTGAGAAATGAACATTTGAGTGCTTCCAGATATACCATGGACAGTAGCAAAGGAGATAAGTGAAATGTAAAACGGCTGAAAAGTCCAATAAAGGAAAACTAGAGAAGCCGGTAAAGAGCGGGGAGAAGCAGGACTCGAGGAAGAAAAGAAAAGTCGACGAAAAAGGGAAAAAGACAATCAAAATGACTGAAATGTTTTTGGAAAAGATCAATTGATTCAAGACATACTGTATGACAGTAGGTCTTACTGATCGTGGTTCAAAATAGTGATGCACAAACTAATCGTGCACTTGGTTCTGAAGTCTACTGCCAGTGACAGAGTTTTAAATGTGTTAATAACTGGGCTGGGATATATAAGAATTTTAATGACTGGATAGGAGGAATGTGTTAATTCCATATACATTACGTTTAACACGTAGGACTTTCGCAACCAATATTATTCATAATAAAGTTTTTGGGTTAGATCGCGTTATTTATAAATGTGTCATAACCCTCCACCACCCGACACGGCCAATCAGCTAAAAAAGTGTCACGTTGACAAAAGACAAATAATTCACTACTTTAGCCCACCGGTGTGTTGAAGAGTGAATCCACAACATTTTCAGTTGTTGAGTGCATCACATTATCCCACCGGTCACAATTGTGACCGACCATAAAACACACTTTTTCCACATACTTTTCCATTAAAATTTCAAAAAATAATGATTGATTATTTCAAAGGGTTACTAATGACACATGAATTGGATATTTTCATGTCTGGGAAAAATTCGGGATTAAATGAAGTTTCCTGCTCTTAGCGTGGAGTGAGGATTCCCACAGTCTAATGCTAGCGAAGTGAAATTTCGCACATATCTAGGACCAGTAAATATCTCCCAGCACCTCGTAACGTAGCCATGTAATGATTCGCCCTCCCTCGGCGATTTAATTTAGTCGAAATTCAATTCAAGATTGTATTCTTTTATTCGTCTCTTTTCACCTAATTTATTTGGAGTTTTATCCTTTTATCTCCTCTCTCTCATTTGTTTAAGTGTTACCCCGTGAGTTGAAATGTTAACCCTGCAATTATTTACTCATCCTTTGGTCATGGTAGGGCCTCCACTGATCTCCTCTAAAAAAATCTAACATTAGCTTGAAAAAAATAACATTTGCATATCATTTGCATGAATTGTGCATAGCCAAATATCACGCGCACAAGAATGTAATTTCATTGGTGGATAATTTTCAGAATTTTTAAATATAATTTCACCCTTTGACATTCCATTTCTGGGGTTGTTTGACCACACTGCAGTGTGCCGAGGAAGACCAAACATGGTAACTGTCTGCATAGTGAATGTATACCCATTAACATTGGTGGGAGGTGGAAGGCAAAGATTTTACACCTTCACACCAGGATTTAGTAACTGAGACACAACATTTCAACTGCTTTAGAGAGCGAATATTTTTGTCTGCTTTAGAGTTTGACTTTAAAATTCCAAAGGCTAAAACTTGACAGTAATTCCACCGCTTGTTGTCGAACACACTGAGACAGAACCATGCCAGCCTGGGACGCTTGTTTTCCAAGTTGAGTCGGGCCCAAACTGTGAAACTGGCCTCATCAGACGTCTACATGTCACTCCGTGCCAAGTAGGGGGCAAGGGACAGCGTCAATTATTTCCATAACTTTTTACCAGTCGATTGTGTGAATCGGCCATTCCACATTCATTGCACGCAACGTCTGCGGCAACCTAGCACCTCCTGAGCGGCACGGAGCGGGCGTGGCATGGCCAAGGCGCGCGGCTCTGTTGTACAGTGGAAAAGCGGTATCAGTCTCATAACGAGCTAGCCGAGTGTGACCTGCTTAACACACATTACATTCTCGTGATAACACAGCTGATGTATTGATTTTGAAGGCGTGTAAATTTGAGAAAGGAAACAAGATTAAAAAAATGTATATTTTTTTCCCGTGTTTCCAATCCACTGTGCAGTCATTTTTCATAATCGAATACCGGTTCTCAAAGTCAGGAAGCAGCCGTTGGTTTCAGTGGAATTTTAGTAATGAATGCACTGTTTGTCGCACGCATTTATGCAGTGGGGCCCCTTCTGGTGGAATTCAACATTCCCGTGACCTTGGAGGAGACAAAGACCATGAACCCAAAGGTGCAAGAAGGTGGCCGCTTCCGTCCCGCAAATTGCATCTCCAAACAGAAGGTGGCCATCATCATCCCCTTCCGGCACCGTGATGAGCACCTCAAGTACTGGCTCTACTACCTGCACCCGATACTCCAGCGGCAGACCATCGAGTATGGCATCTACATCGTCAACCAGGTAGGAACGGCACACCGCCCGTGTATCCGTGGCTGCGCCCCCTGGTTAAACAACGCAGGAATTATTGCCGCAAAGTAAATGGGCGGCCGTCCACATTCAAAGTGCACGTTAAACGTACCGTGACGTTATATATATACAAAAAAGAGGAAGCCACACACGCTGATGTCACGGTCAGTGTCTGGAAAGTTCCCCCGCAAGGTGCCTCATCGCACGCACGGCGATCGTCGCGACCCGCCCCCTCCTGCGAAGCGACTGCGGATCGCATCAGTGAAACGGCGCCTTCGTGGTGGCCTCGGACAATAGAAGTTTGGGTGTGTTCACGCTTACATTTAAAAATAGAAAAATTAAAGTCATAAATAAACACTGAAATTATTAAATAAATAATAAACGCGCCGATCTCTTGCACTATATCCATACGAATAAAATAGTTTTTTTTTTATTTCTGGAAGTTTATTTAATATTGTACGTTATAATGTGTAACATTTTTTATGTAAATTGTTCATAATAAAGGTTTTTGGGTTAGATCGCGTTATTTATAAATGTGTCGCAACCCTCCACCACCCGACACGGCCAATCAGTAAAAAATGTGTCACGTTGACAAAAGACAAATAGTTCACTACTTTAGCCCACCCGTTGTGTTGAAGGGTGGATCCACAACATTTACAATTTGAGTAGTACGCCGTTTGCTGGAAATTACATCCAGCATCTTCGGGCGATTTTCCAGAATAGTGGAGCCATCCACCTGCTTCCGGTCTTAAATAGTGCAGGATCACGTCATCATTATTGAACCCCACCAGGATTCGAGATCAGAGACGGGGGTGTATGCAATTATGTAATAGATAATGTTTTTATTATTTAGATTTGAACAGCATAAAATGTGTATTTTTTCGTTCAAAACCACTTGATTACAACATATCTCAAAAAGATTAATATAGAAAAATGGTTCTCGCTTAATTTTATTTGCCGTTTAATGCTCATCCAAGGAAAAAAAGCAATCTTATATTTTGAATGGTTTCTGAATGACACACAAACATGTTTTTGGGGAATTTAAAATGTAGATTTGGGAGCCTTAAAATATAAAATGTCTGATTTTCTGATTTTTCCTGTTTGTGTCCTAAAAGCTACCGATGTACCCAATTTCATCTTTCTACCTTGTCGGGAAGTACCCGAAAGACATACATGTTAAGGTCTTTATTAATATACATGAAAGCACGTTCCGTGAATGCGTATCCTGCACATGTGCAAAGTGTTTGTTAGAGCAGTATCCATTATCCAAGCCGCAAAACCCATTACTGGGTATCTAAGGTTACCCATGCAAACTCAGTGACCAATCTTAATGTACTATCATTTAGTAAAATAACAGGGAGTGAATGATATTCTAAAAAAATTACTTCTGCATTTCCCTTTTCCATAATATTAAGATATCATCAGTAATATAATGTGCATTTTAAAGATGTTTGTGTTTTCTGATTTTTTTAGAGTGCAGTGCATGGACGAACTGCATTACTGCTCTGTAATTGATTATATTAATCATCAGCCCTGTTCAATCGACTGCTGGATGAAGGCCTCCCAAATGCCCCACCATCTCTCACGAGCCCACGATCTAAATTATCCATGTAGCACCTGCACAAACGCTCCATATCCCCGGTGGATGTATGCTCGGGTGCATTCCATGCCTTGACTGCCACTATAATTATTCTTGGCAATCGGCCATATAACTAAAACTTTTTTTTTACCAGGTAAGGCCCACTGAGCTATGTAGCTCATTTTCAAATGCGACCTGGCCATAATGATAACTCAACGAAGGGCCTTATCGCCTGGAAATGTATTTCAGCCAAATACAGTACTCTAAACACCATGACTTCTAGCCACCACGTGTCCTGCCTAATCCCACACATTTTTCTATTTTAAAGTATGTTATTGGCCTGTGTGTGTGTGTTCTCTAATCCACGTGTTCATATTTCTGTCCCACAATGTAATTCAAAGCACGCATCTGACCCATTGCTTCTTTGAGCATTTAATTTTTTGTTGTTCATGTATTCCGTAAAATATCAATTTGTTGTAATAAAACAAATTAATACACACCATGATCCTAATATTAAGTCTTGATAATTCGTAGAAGCCTCTCGAGCTTAGGCAGAGTTTGACTTCTATATTTGGGGGGGTGGGTTCCCTTTGTCCCTCACGTTAGGAATGGAGGGTGCATGTAATTAATTTATTTTGTTAATCTTAATTGTAAACTCCTGACACTAAATTCATGAAGGTGCCCAGTTTGGGCGGGGAGTTGACCCCCACGAGACTCTGTAATGTTTGGGAGCAAGTTACACGTTCATTAAGCCTGACCTTGTGGTTACAGTACCACCTGCTGCTTACAATGCGAGTTTTCCAAAAGATCCTCTCAGTTGATTTCTTAATGTCCATTGAAAAAAAATAGTACACTTCCACTGATTTAATATGCATCAAATCATGCATATATTTATTTTTTTATTGCCCACTGAATGGCAAATTGCCTGGGATTTAAATGGGGGGTTCTCAATTATTTTGAATTGGTTATCTCAGTCGCCATAGAATGCACAGAGAAGGTTTTGTTCAATTTGAGCAGTGTGGAATGATATGGTTTACGGTTGATTGCCACGCAATGACCAACTCAAAAGCAGGCCATCGAAGAAGGTCCCCCACCCCCCCTCTGCCCAATGTGGATTCGTGGGAATTGAAGGGACCCTGAGATGTGGTTCTTTGATGCCATTCTCCACAGGCCATTCTCTCACAGGGGATAAAAGGTGATTAACATTGCTCTCCGTTAGGCTTCTGTGCATTTCCTTGTCTCGTAACATAGAAATGACCCCCCCCCCCCTCCCTCAATCATTGTAAGCTGAGTTTGTTTTATAAGGTCCCTCTGAGTTTCATCAGCACGTCTGTGTACACTGGTGATCAATATCGAATACGGCTAGTAGGTGACAGGTGGGGGCTTTTAAGTACTGTAATCCTGTAGTATCCACCCCAACCAAGTGTCTCGTGGAGGCCTGAATGTAGGCCTGCTGAGTGTGAGAATACATATTGTGTCATTTTATAGATATTCAAAATAAACGTGTTCCCATCGATCTAGAGGCCCCTCGTCTCTTCAAATCGAGCATGCAACAAATAAGTCTGTTATAGATCATTATTATTCCACTGCTAGAACAACGCATACTCAACGTCGTGTTGGTCATGGGGGTTGTTTGACCATACTTCACCACGGAGGTCAATGCGGGTTGGTAATTGGTGGGGACCTCTGGCCAGTTTCGATTTCCACTCGCCACCGATGTTCGCTGTGACCGGGAATCAGACTCCGTGAGTCAACCACCACATGTCACGACTGTCCCAAGTGCTAATGGGGTAAAAAAAAACCCGTTTAATTCTTGACTCATTTTCAGATGCGACCTGAAAATGAGTCAAGAGAGCTACTCAGGGTGTGCATATTCCAAGTTGCAATCATCTGCTCATTGTACTAAAGTGGAGGATGAGCAATGAGCCAAACAGAACCAGCAAGTCCCTTGCTGAATGAAGCGTGAGACGACTCACAGTGAGGCGTCCCTGTATTTGAACTGGACATTCGTGTAATTATAATTGTTAACATTCGGAGCAGTCATTGCTGGAGCATTGAAGCTGGTGAGCCGAGTTTGATTCGTGACCAAAGCAAACGTCAGTGACCAGTGTGGTTATACATGGTAAAACCACCCATTAACTGACAGTGTGGGAAGGCTTCAATCCAGCAGGTGATTGACTGACAAAGAGCTGTACAATATTAGTATTTCCTACAATCAATGTCACTTTGTGGACAGAAGATGGCAGCACATCAATCCAATTGTTATATTATTCTTTGCTCCCCGCATCCACAAATCCGCACTTACTAGGTCGATGACGCATTGTCAGATAAGCCCCATGACCGACACGGCGTGGGGAAGCGCTCATCAAGCAGTGGAGTAACAAAGGTCTGTAAAACGTTATTGCAAATTATTTCATGGTCGTGAATATGAATGTCGGCGCGTAGTTAACGTGCGTTTCTCACGGTCACACACATGTTACGTTCGGGTGATCAACTAAACACTCGCTTTGGCAGAACCTGTTACCTCCTAATGTCTGGCAAACTGGACCATGCGCATGTGGTGGCTGCAGTTTGGAGAGGGGGTGTTCAACCGAGCCAAGCTCATGAACATCGGCTACGTGGAGGCCCTCAAGGACGCCCCCTACGACTGTTTCATCTTCAGCGACGTCGACCTGGTGCCCATGGACGACCGCAACCTCTACCGCTGCTACGACAACCCCCGGCACTTCTCCGTCGCCATGGACAAGTTTGGATTCCAGTAAGGGTCAACACCAGCCCTGTAGTGTCGGGGGGAGAGGAGGGGTGGAGGGGGATAAGCCCACCCTGCTTTAGGCCCAACTAGTCTAAATTCCTCTTCACCATCGTCGTCATTATCAACCATGGTCAGTCCACTGCTGGTTGAAGGCTTTCCCCAAACCGTCACCACCACTCGGGATCCTGCGATGCAAAAATCCAACCTCGCATCCCCGCGCACAAACCGATGTAAGCGCTCAATTTGATTGGCGGACGTCCTCTTGGATGCGTTCCATTCCTTGGCTGCCACTCTGTTATTGTTCCTAACAATTGGCCATCATTTGTGTACAGGTCCTCGTGTGTATAATTGCACGCAATGTTGTGTATCTCTTGTCAACATTGCTGGGTGCATAGGCTTATCAAAGCATGTATGCGAACACCCACACCAAACAATCTATTACTAAGATTCTATATCAAGTGTAAAAGTAGCGAACCGAAGATTGCCGCAACGTTTTTTTAATCGCATTCGTGCCAATGTTTCTTTTCAGCCTCCCGTACAACTCGTACTTTGGCGGAGTGTCGGGCCTCTCCAAGGCACAGTTTGAGAAGATAAACGGCTTCCCCAACAACTACTGGGGCTGGGGCGGCGAAGACGATGACATCTATACCAGGTGAGAAGCCGGGCGGCCGAGCTGCAAGGATGCCCCGTGGTGCTGCCCCGGCTGCCCTGCATTGTCGTTGTTGATTCTGGGCCCTGGTGGTTTGGTCCCAGGTCATGCCCGTGGTGTTGCTCACTCTGCTTCTCTTCTGTGTTTCCCTGCGCCTGACTCTCGAGTGCTGATAAAAAAACAAAAATGTCCACCAGGCATGAACTTGTCAGAAAAAGTAATGCAATAATGCGTTAAAAGCAATGTATTATTATGTGAAGCACCAATGTCCATTATAATAAACGGACAAGAAGCCCCCTTCCAATATCTGCCACGCCATTATTTTTTTCTTACATATCCCACCAGCAACATGACCTTCTGGGAGACTTTGGTGTCATGCAAGAAAACCCTGGACTCATTTTAACATTCATTATCTCAAGAGCTTTCTTGAATCATTGCTGATGTACTGCCATGGTTGACTGCATAAGGCGCAAAATAAGTTCAATATACTTATAGGCAAGGACCCTCTCTTTTCAATATGGGTCCTAGTTCAACATAAAACTATAATCATGAGCATTATTGTGGGGAATTATGAATGACAAAATAAGTAAAAATACAAAAGCTTGTGAAATTGAGTACATCATTGAATTTGTGACGTATGGCATGTCGAGTTGTACGAAATAAGCTATACATATCTTTTGGTGTTGTAATGAAGCAACGTGATTATTTGGTTCCGCTGTACGGACACATTCATGACAATAGTAGCAAGGCTGGGTTCTGATGTGTACTGAAAACTTGTGGCTAGCAGACCTTGGCATTATAATTTAGCGACTGAAGATATTGCCACAAAAGAATGCAACTGTAAATAGTTAGGGGTTACAGTGTGTGATGACATCAATGAATGTGCAGAGGACATCCTTGGAGAGGAATATGGTTCTGTTTGTCTTTTTTTTCTTACGCAATCGTCACTGCAGCTCTTATAGAGTTCACCTTTGACGTCCACGTATCAAAATAATTGTTCTTCCACAGAAAAAATATTAACAAAACCTGAGAACTATCTGTATCCCCGTGGCGATGTCATTAACCTGTTGGTAAAACAGTCCATTAAACTTGAGCATTCCACGATTAAGACTGGCCAAACAAATCAGCGAGTTAAATTGTGATTTAAAGCCTTCGTGACTGCAGGGATTCATCTTCTTGGTTCTTTCGGTAAAGTCACGTAGAATGGAAATAAAATAATAAAAACAAAACATAATAAAATAAAATTCTCACGACGTTTCGGCCACAACACAAGTGGCCTTCTTCAGGTGAAGGAACAGAACTGTCGGGACGACAGCGTTTCAATGAACGCTGCTAATATTCGCAGCGTCTTTTAAGCTAGGTGGGAGAAGAAAAGCGCCTTGACAAAGGAGTTTACATATCAAACAGGAGAATTTAGCATTGAAATAGCTGTGATAAAGTGTTGGATCAGCAGGGTGTTAAAGTCAGAAATTAGCATGTAACTGGGAGATTAGCATGATGTTATTGTGAGGGATTAGCATGTGACTGGTCACGGAAATAGCTGTGTTAAAGTCAAAGTTTACATATCAACAGAGGCATGTAGTATATGGACGCTAAAGGACTGCAACTACCCCAACTATCATACTTTAAACCGATAAGTATAAACTACATCAATATAATAAATGTACTCAATATATTCTTCAATAAGTTGAGCTATTAACATAAAGTAACTGGGTATACACTACACTATATATGAATACCATATAGTAAACTAATAAAAAAACTCGGTTTAACATGTAGGCTTTCGCGACCAATATTATTCATAAGTAAGGTTTTTGGGTTAGATCGCATTATTTTTAAATGTGTCATAACCCTCCACCACCCGACATGGCCAAACAGTAAAAAATGTGTCACGTTTATTTAAGACCGGGAGCAAGTGAGGAATTTAACATTCTGGCGAATTGCCCGATGAAGCTGGATGTAATTACCAGCGAAACGTCGTACTCAAATTTTTAATTATGTTGATTCACTCTTCAACACACCGGTGGGCTAAAGTAGTGAACTATTTGTCCTTTGTAAATGTGACACATTTTTTTACTGTTTGGCCGTGTCGGGTGGTGGAGGGTTACGACACATTTATAAATAACGCGATCTAACCCAAAACCTTTATTATGAACATTAAAAAAACTAAAATATAAACTACATCAATGTTATCAATAAACTCTATATACTCTCCAATCAGCTGAGCTACTAACAATAAGTCGTTATACATTACAATGCCATATGGCGAAAAAATGGGTGGCAGTTTTTTTTCTTTTCAACATTAGCACCACGGAAAGCGACGAGCTTTGTTCAGACGGACGAGTCCATCTATGCTCGGAACGGAGGAGGGGGGAGAAACAGCCACGATGCGCTACTCTGTCCTGTGTTGCGTTACAACTATGTTATAAACTAGACTACTGTACATTAGAATGTTATACCTTCCAATCTAAACTACATTGTATAATATCGTATACACAGCCCAATGTAAGTTCTAACATTATGCATTATATTGATATGTCTCCAACTAAACTTTTTTCTACATTACACGACTATACACCATAATATACACTGCCATAGACAAATCCACCCTTGAATTATACAATGCGTTACTATACACTACCCTATACTTTAGACTGTAAAATATTAGACTTGTGATATTACACTATGTATTATTCTACCAACCCTACTGTATACCACACTGCTGTATATTCACTATACAATTACGATACTATATATTGCCTTATGAATTATGTTAAACATTACAATATTATACTATTTATTATTATACAACATGCTATAAACCATAGCATTGACCGTCGTGTGAAAGGTATTAAGAGGCAGTGCCAGTGAATGGACTGCGGTCTGAAAGTCACCGTAAAATACAGTCAATTAAGAACCGAAATGGTTTTTACGTCTTTCCAATGGTTACTAAGCCAGAATCCATCTTCTCGGTTGAAATTGTCTCAATGTTTGTATATGTGCATGGCCTCATGAACGAATCTCTCATGGTAGCCGGATGGCTTGCAGAGAACCTCCGTCTTGGAGAAGTCAATGTCATGTGAGCCCACTGAATTATAATAGTGATCTGCCATGTCTGAGGTGTTCGTCCTACCGTGTTTCAAGTCTGCTTTATGTTCACGGATGCGGACCGAGATATGTCGTTTCGTTTCTCCAATGTAGCTGCTACCACAGAGGCAACTTCGTTTGTAGACACCCGGGTAATATATGTCTGGAACCACATGTTTTACAGATGGAACCAGATCACGGATTTTATGTACTGTGTTGAATCGGACCTGGATCTTGTGTTTATTCAGGATTTTGGAGATCTCCTCAAGAGGATCCTTCTTCATGGCTGGAGTGATGGCTTTGCGGATTGTGTAGTCGGAGTAACCATTAGCCTTGAGAGCTTGGTGTACGTGCTTGAGTTCACTGGCAATGTGTTCCTGGTCGGAAATGCATTGGTCTCTATGGTATAGAGTCTTGATGAGGGAGTTCTTCTGGGATGGATGGTGGTGGGAATCCGGTTTTAAGTAAGCATCCGTATGGGTAGCTTTCCTGTAGACAGAGTGGCTCATTGAACCATCAGGTCTCCTTTTAATTAGGACATCCAAAAAGAGTAGCTTCCCATCTTTTTCGACTTCCATGGTAAATCTGATGGCTGGGTGTATGGAATTGATGTGGTCGAGGAATTGGTCTAGAGCAGGCCAGCTATGTGGCCAGATGACAAAAGTGTCATCCACGTACCTCTTCCATAAGGGCGGGCGTAGAGTGGCAGTCTGGATGGCGTCAGTTTCAAATGTCTCCATGAAAACGTTGGCTACAACCGGAGATAGGGGGGAGCCCATTGGGGTGCCCTCAGTTTGTTTGTAAAAAGTTCCATTCCAGGTGATGTATGTGTTGGTTAAGCAATGTCTCACCAGGGGGGGTACATCAGTATGCAGTCCTTGATGAACCAAGTCTTCAATGATTGCGATGGTGTCAGGTACAGGAACTTTGGTGATAAGGAAACCAGATCAAAACTGACAAGCAGGTCGTCTGGGGACAGCGAAATACCCTTGATTGTCGATACCAGGCGAGTAGAGTTTAGTACTGCAAAGGTGGTTTTTCCAGTAAAAGGCCGCAGGATTTCAGACAGAAAACGGCGAGTGTCTAAGTACGTTTGCTCAACGATCCTATTGACAGTTGTTACTCCTCAAAGTATTTACCCGCATAATCCTTTGAGATGGGAGGGCTCTTTTTCAGTGGGGTCCCAAGTCCTTAAAGCTTGCAGACCGTCTCTGTGGAGTTGTCTTAAAAGGGAAAATATAAAAGATACAATGTTTTGGGAAATGTCCCAGAACACCACCTGTTGTGTATTTTCTTTTTACTTTTTTAAGGCCACAGTGTTGTTGACAAATGTGAGTTTTTATTTTTTGTGTTTGTGCACCACTGCCAACTCAACATCGCCAAATTATTTGAGCCAAACTAAACAGAATTTTGTCATGTCCGTTGTGAATATTTGCACACTGGTACCAGCAAACATATTCGCATGCGAATGCAGCACACGATTGGTTTCAAACAAGATGAAAAAATGCGTAAGTTGTAGTTTCATAAAAAAAAGTATTACGTACATCACGTCAGTGTACGTAATCTATGTAATTGTTGTCGTAAATGAGACAAATGTACATAATGTATGTAGTGTATTATGCATATTGGGCGAATGTCCACAGCTTGGGCCTTATTATGTACATTAGCTTAACTTTAGCCTTATGAACACATACCTGTCAACCTCTTTCCAGTGCCTACTTTATGACAGACCAATTCAGACCTCATTGGCCACACCGTGCCCTTATAAATCTCAACGTTTATCCCACAAAGCCCGTATTGGAACGTCCGTACGCCATATGAACCTGAAATTTTCCCAGGACAAGAATATGGGCAAACCGTACTGGCTGACAGGTATGTAAATATAAGGTCCAAGCTGTGGATGCCAGCCATTTTGT